AAAAAAAAAAAAAAAAAAAAAGATTGTGAACGTAATATGATATGCACTCTTTAAGCAGAACAGACAGTTACTGAAATGCCATGTGAAGATACCAGAGCAAGTTATTTTAGCACATTCAAGGAGATCCACATCCCCATTTCACAGTAGCTTTGAATTTAAAACAGGTAGACAATTTTTTAAAAGTATGTGAAATAGGACATACTGATTATAGCTATAAAGGTCTGTTCATACAAGTTCAAAGAGGACTGCAAGAGTGACTGGTAGCACATAGGAGGCGCTAGTTTAAAGTGAAGATTGAAACAAGGCAAAAGGTTTTGGTGAAAAACATATAGGACAAGATAGTCCATATATGTGTACAGGCAGTTATATGAAATGTGGTAATTTTTCTCACTGCAAATGTTGAGGACTACAAAGAGGAAAAGTATGGAAGTGTAGGAGGAAGACAGAGAAGGACTAGGAAAAAACGCTGTGACCTAAAGGAGTCAGAAAGTTGCTGGGAGTGAGGAAGGCTAAAGGAGCTCAGACAGCAGGGCCTCTTTTGGCTCAGGGATGGCAGTGCAGGGAATATCGGGAGGGAATTTGGTAAATGCAAGGGATCAACTTACAGCCTACCCAAGTGGAAAATACTTTAGCACATGTAACAAAAAGCATGTAGATTTTTATAAACTTGGTAGTATGCAGATTTAATGTAAACAGCAATGGACAAATGAGTTGTGACTCCAACTTAATCTTTTTCTCTCATTAGGAGATGCTATCCATGCTGGGAGACCAGAGCAGCAGCTACAACAATGAAGAATTTCCTGACCTAACTATGTTTCCCTCCTTTTCAGAATAGAACTGTTGGGGTGAGGATAAGGGGTGGGGGAGGAAAAAAATCACTGTTTGTTTTTAAAAAGCAAATCTTTCTGTAAACAGAATAAAAGTTCCCCCTTCCCTTCCCTCACCCCTGACGTGTACCCCTTTTCCCTTTTGGCCTTTCCCCTATCCTCCTGCCTTTCTGAGGTAACATTTTTAGAAGAAATGGAATGAATTCCCAATGCTTTTAGGGCCCTTTGAAAATCTGAGGCTAAGTGAGGTTGGAATGCCTTTCCTTATGTCTCCTGATTGAACCTGACATCCTCCACTTGCCTTGGATACTGTGGCTTGTCCATGGAAACAAATTATGAATAGAGTGGAGACGCAATGTCCTCACATTTGAGGACCTTGAAACATGGTAGGTATACATGGGGTTTTAGGAAGTGAGCATAGACTCTTCCTGCTGCCTCTGAGCAACAGTTCTGGAAAGAAACATGTGAATGAGTGAGTGAGTGAGTGAGTGAGAGAGAGAGAGTATGTGTGTGCTTCTGTCTTTCTTCCTTTCTCTTCATTAGGGAATTATGCAAACTTTATCACAGATTTTATCTTTGTCTTTCTGTGTGCTTTTCAAAGAGGCCTAAGGAGTTAAATGTTCCAGGTATTTTCCACTTAGTATTGCAGCCAAAGAGTATTTAAATAAATGTCTTTGCTGCGCTAACATCTATGCCCAGCCAATATGCAACTATAAGCAAATCGATAAAGTCTTCTGTTGATATGGTTGGTCTCTCATCGAACATACTCAGTGATAAAGCTGGGTTACTTCTGCTTTGGTGCTCTCACCTTATTTGGAAGACATACAAACTACCGAAATAGGCTGGCAAGATAAACACTTAAGAGACCCCAGACTTGGCCATAAGGGTGATGCTGCATTTTTTCTGTCAGAATCACACATGATGTGTGTTCTGTAGAGGTTCTTTCTGCATGGAAACTCAACTTCTTGGATCAGCAGTCCTAGTGACAATCTTCAGTGTTGGAGTGTAAACCAAATACATAGCCCTCTTGCAAAGTAGCCTCTTTTAACCCATTCTCAAAATACCCAGTCAGGCAAGAAGCTGAGGTTTAGGTCTCTCCTGGGCCTCTGGTTCTTTCCTCTTTGCTCCCTCTCCAATCTTAAGATTGGATTTTGCTTTAGAGTGTAAGTATAATAACTCCATGTGATAGATGGGGCCTGGACTCCCATCTCAGCAGGGTCACTTTGTAATTAACTATAGCCATATAATTGCGGATACAGGTAACTATTCACCCTTTACCTTCCTCAGGTAACAATCATGTATATCAGCCTTTTTAAATGTTTTTTAATTGGCTTCGGCCAGTATTAATGTGCAAGACTGAATTATAAGGAGAAGATGCATTAAATGTCATAGGGGACTGAGGAGCACAAATGGCCTTGGAGAGCTGAAGGAATGTCATTTCCTAGTTTTCCCTCCCTTTTGTCTCCAGTTTGGTGCCCAGTAATGGAATGGAAAGGAGACAGTTTATTTTTTTAATCTATGTGCACACATACAGTATACATATATATTTATATCACAATTTACAAAACCAAAAAGTTGAGTTTCCAATGGAATCCTTGTTTTTTAATAATCAATTGTTTTTAAATGTGATCAGGTCTATAATATTGTACAGTTATTATAGGGCTTTTGGGGAAGGGGTGGGTAGGGAGAAGATGCTCTGGGGGTTTTGTTTCTGCTTTTCCTTCAGGGTTTTATTTTTGATTGTTTGTTGTTGTTGGCCATTTCTGTATTGCTGGCGTGTGTGCTAAGCCTTACAGTGGCAAGAATAATGACATGTAGCAAAAATTTTAAAACAAAATATTTTTTCTTTTGTAAAATTTCTTGTGTTGTGTGATCTTGATTGCAGCTTTATCATACCTTTCCAACTCATAAACAGCAAACAGCCTTAACTAGTATAATCCATAGCTTGAGTCGAAACATAATAAGCATAAAGCACAGTGTACGTCTTTAATTTCAGGAATCAGAAATCATCAGGCTCTGATCACTCAGCGCTTCTCATCCTCACTTGTCCTCCTGATCATGATGCAGTCTGAGTAATATCAGCAGGGACATTCTGACCACCCGATGGGGGGTGGGGGTTGCCCAAGAGAGGAGGGAAGAGCTGGATCTTGAAACCATGAGGGTATATCTGGCTTCTCCCCACCCCCACTCCAGTATGTCATCTTCTGGATTAAAAAGAGTTAGGGATGGGAAATCTTAACTGTTAAGGTCTAGACCTGGCTTCCCCGTAAGACCATGAATTCATTAGCAACTCTTAAAACCCAGAGTCATAAACCAGTCTGTGTGGAATCCAGCCAGAAACTGTCTCTAAATTCCATGTATTATTCTTTTTATTCCAAATATCTTTTCCTCTTTTCTCATATCTGTTTATGGAAGAAAATGGAGTTTGGGGGTGTGGTTTGAGGACTAAGCTGGCCTCATGATCTGTCATATGCCTGGATGTTGGACAAGCATTTGGAAAGTCTCATGTGACTGGACCTAGACTGGGCATTTTAGTAATTGAAACAGTATTCATCAGAGAGGTTTAGCAACAAAGTCACATGTAAGTCCATCAGAACTTACAGCAGCGATCCAAGTGTTTGTACATAACCAGGATTTTTTTTTCTTTTTCTTTTTTTCTTTTTTGATTGCATTAGGACCGATTTCATCTGAAGTTTCTGAACATAATCTCTCTTACTTAACATATTTAGGCTGGGAAAGCTATTCCTCTGCTTGGAAATAATGCTAGCTTTTGGTCGGTAAATTTGTTAAAATACAAACAAGAGCCAGTGGTGGTGTGGTGAAGGCAGCTGAATCCCACGTGGCAAATGGAGTCTGGGATCTGGTGACTTAAAAACATGACCAGGTGTGTTTGCGTGCGTGCCCAAAATCTCAACAGGACGGAGAAATGGGGGAGAAGGGATTGCAGTGGGATCATTCCCCCATGGGGGATACTTTCTCACTCTCCCTGTCTCACCCTCTGTCTTTCTTCAGTGAGTTCATGTGCTCTCTGGCAAATTAAAAAATAAAATTTTTTGAGCGTATGGCTTCCTTCACTTTGTTTTCGTTTTTTTTTTTTTTTTCCTTAAGTGACAAAATTTCATTATGTCGTGATATTCCCTGACCTCCCGAGTAGCCGAGTAGCCGAGACTACAGCTGGGCAACACTACCCCCATCCTGGCTTTTAGGGTGAGCCAGAAATGGAACCTGAGCTTCTCACATGTCCTCAGCCTGTTGAATAGTGGTGCCTACCATCATGCACTATTGCAACTGGGCCTTTTCCAGCCTCCCATGTTTAATTCCTCACTCCACAAGTGAGGATCAGACACATATTTCAAAATAGGTTTTAATGTTGGAGATCAAGAACAAGAAAAGAATAGAAAAGATGTAATCCCCCTAATGTTATAATAAAAGATATTAAAGAAGAGGGCGGGGGAGTGGACCTGTGGCCTTTCATTTATCCACCAACGGATATGCCCCAACTTGAGTAACGTGTGTTGAAGTTTTTGTCTGCTGCCAGTCACGTGGAACTACCTAGCAGCTCCCGCCCTGGCACTGGCTGCACACGCACAGAAATACGGTGCAAATCCACTGCTCCTTCCTGCCTCCCAACCCCCCTTCTCTCAGCATTTCTATCCCCGCCTTCCTTATCCAAATTTTCCTGCCAACTGTTAGAGCTGACTTCCGCAATCCTGATGGAATAAATCTAGTGTCCCCAGTCCACATTAGCCATACTTCCCTGCCGAAACGAGCCCAGACAACAGATTCCCATCAGCAGGTAACATTTTCTTCCTAGCTCTTTCAGCTTCCTGTTCCTGCCAAACCTCTACTTTCAGAGTTCTATTGTAGAAATGGTAGCGATCTGAGATCAAAGTAAACTACTTAGAATCTGTGGGTGAAATAGGGACTTTCCTGGGGGAGGGCAAAAACAATTCCTGAAACCAGGAGATTTCCTTTTTCGGTAATTTCCAGACCAGATAAAATCTGCCTAGAAATCTTTAGGATTCTTTTTATGATTTGTATGAATGCATACATGGTTGTTTGTGAAAGTAAAGGATATAGGGAATCTTACCAATTCCTCGAGTGGCCTTTGTAGGATTTGCTGCGTTAGCCAGGACCAAAAGGGTTAATTAGTGAGGAGGATTGGAACAGGGAGGTGGTAGCTCTCTGAGACATCTCAAAGTCCTTAGCACTTCAGTTATTAAATGACCTGTTGGACCTTTGGACAGGTTGGAGGGGTGACACGCACAAAATTCAGAAATTGTGCTAGCTACATAACTTGCTACAGACTATAAATTGTTCTTAAAATGGAGGATAAAACATTAATTAACAAGCTGATGCAAGAAATGAGTGAAACTAGAGTAAATTTCTGAAAAACTGACCTTAATCATCACAGAACCTTGCTTTTTCATCTTACATTCTAACAAACCTCAGTTCTAGGACTTTTGTCCTATGAGTCCCACCCCCCCGCCGGTTTT